CTCTCTCTTTAAAAAAAATGTTCACTTGGCCATTCTCTTGAACATGTATTTTTATTCTTTATAATGCAGTCAGGAAATTATACTACATTATATATGATGTCTCAAAGTGCATTTTACTGTCATGTATAGCTAATTAAAACAAATTTTAAAAATTAAAAAAGAAAGAAAGAAAAAATCAAATGAGTATATTTTGTATGTGAGAAGGACATGAATGGGGGCAGAGGCAAAAAAATATGCTTATGTTGCATTCACCCAAAATTCACATAATTGAAATCTGATCCCCAAGGTATTGGTATTAATTAAGAGGTAGGGTCTTTTTTTTTTTTAAAAGAGAGAGAGAGAGAGAGAGAATTTTTCAATATTTATTTTTTAGTTTTCGGCCGACACAACATCTTTGTTTGTATGTGGTGCTGAGGATCGAACCTGGGCCGCACGCTTGCCAGGTGAGTGCGCTACCGCTTGAGCCACATCCCCAGCCCAAGAGGTAGGGTCTTTAGAAGGTGATTAGATGGTGAAGGCAGAGTCCTTGTGAATGGGATTAATGCCCCTATAAAAGAGAACCCAGAAAGTGATCTGTCTCTTCTACAATGTGGGATACAGCGAGATGGCACCATCTTTGAAGATGAGAACCAGTCCTAACTAGACACCAAATCTATTGGTGCCTGGTCTTGGACTCTCCGGCCTCCAGAACTATGGACAATAAGTTTCTGTTGCCCAGTCTAAGGTATTTTGTTATAACAGATAAAATGGACAAAGACACAGTCATGTGACCAATCTAAACCCATGAAACATTAGGGAACATTGCTGGGTGCTTCTGGGAAAGGTTTTTTTTTTTTTAATTTTTTAGTTGCCAATGGACCTTTATTTTATTTATATGAGGTGCTGAGAATTGAACCCAGTGCTTTACACAAGCTGGACAAATGCTCTACCATAACTCCAGCCCTGGGAAAAGTTTTTGTTCTAAATAAAAAGATGTACATGGGAGGAAATACATCTTTCTTTCCTAATTTTGGATGTTAGCATGTAAGAATGACATGCTCAGAGCAATGGTAGCTATTTTGCCACCATAAGGAGAAAGTTAAAAGAGTCAAAGTCAGCCCATATGCTTAAGTCATGATACAGCTGAATTCTGGAGTGCTCTTCTCTAGATTTCTTGTTTGTGAGAATTTACTTTTAGTTGGATAGTTTCTTGTGGCCTCAAGCATCATAAGCCATAGATAGGATTTATAAAATTTGTTACTGATAATACCAGTGCATTTCCTGAAAACAGGTTTTTTTTTTGTTAGTTTCTTAGAGAAAGACTACAACTCTTATAAAGAAAATTTGTGGCTTAGTGGTAGAAGGCTTGCCTAGGCATGTATGAAGCACTGGGTTCTATCCTCAGCATGATGCTGACCCATGATTTTTCTTGGGAGGACCTAATTTTCCTGTAGCCCCTCAGCACACCTGTTGCAAAATGACACCTCTAGGTGTAAATGAGAAGATAGCTTCTGTCTTTGGTTGATTGTTCTAAGGCTACCTGTGAGCACAGGAGAAAACCTAGGGAAGAACTTGATTCTCTATGGTCATAAAAATAAGTAGATAAAATAAAGGTATAAAAATACACTAACATTTAAAAAAATAGAAAACTATACTCCCCTAATATGGGACATGAGTTTTCAAAACCGTTTAGGTGATAGAATAGCAGTTATTTCAAAATGATGATTTTCATTATTTATAGGTATTCATCAGCATCATAGTTATCTTCAGGTCCAGTGTAACTCAGGATGGAAATTATCTTACTTCTTTATTTTCTTTCTTTCTGTTTCTCTCTCCCTTTCCCTTCCCACCCCCTTTTCACTACTGGAGATTGAACCCAGAGGCCCTCTACCACTGAACTACACCACTCTAGCACTTTTTATTTTATTTTGAGACAAAGTCTTGCTAAATTGCCAAGGCTGGCCTTGACCTTGCTATCCTCCTGCCTCAGTCTCCATGAGTTGCTGGGATTACAGGCATGGGCCACCTATTTAATAAGCACTTAAAAACCTCTCTTGTTTTTAAGTGCTTATTAAATCAACAGTACTATTAAATCCCAAGTCACTGACTTGAGATTTCCAAAGGGGCTGGGATACATGCAAAGATCCTGTGAAATCTTGATATATTTAGTCTGTCAACCAAACTGATCACAATTTCCTTGGCAGAAAACATGGCTTTATTACATGTGCTTGGTTTAAAGTCTCAATCAAATTACAAATGTGCAGGAAAACTTAATTTTTCTTGTTATTGTGGTGTAGACTTTCCATTAATATTCAACATTTGATAAATGTTTACAGAGTGCCGACCAACACAGGGATGAGGCAGACAAGTTCCACCCCAAAGGAGTCCCCAGATTAGGAAGGGGGGAAGAAAGTCACCAGGCAATTATAATGCAAAGGGAGAAGCCCTTTCCATAGAGCTAAATATAGGGAGAAATGAGAGCCCAGAGGTGTTTGCGCGTTCACTCATTTCAATTGATCCGTCCGATTTATTTATTGAGCATCCACAATGTGCTAGGAACCAGGAAAACAATGGAGGAAAGAAAGACACAAACCCTATCTTCATGTTATTTTCAGCCAAATGGAAGAGAAAGACAAATGAACAGATCATTATGGGTACGAATGCTACAAGAGGAAAGCATCTAAGACAGCACCTGACCCAAATTTGGGGCGATGAGAAAAGGATACTTAAGATGAGATAGGAAGGATTGGAAAGTGGGGAAGGAGGTTCCACACGGCAGGAATGGTGCACAGGCACAAGGACAAGAGAAGCCATGGCAAAGGTGAGAACAAAAAATTGGAGAAAAGTGAAGATTGCAAAGAGGTGGAGGAAACAGGGTTGGCAGGAAATAACCAGTAACCAGATCCTGATAAATCCTGCAAGCCAGGTTAGGAGTTTTTTTTGTTTTGTTTTGTTTTTTCCTGAGGTTAATGGGCAAAGAGGAGATTTAAGCAGGGGAAGGAAGCAGTCAGATGTTCACTTTACAAAATCATTGGCTGCCATATAGCGAGTGATCTGGAGGGGGAGATGCCAGAGGCAGGACAACAGTAGGAAGCTGCTAAATTCTCTTGGCAAGCACTGGCCGTGGCCTGACTCAGAATGGTGATGGACACTGTGGGCTGAGGCACAATCAGCAGAAGGTGTGGAAAATGATGTAAACAGAAGGTAGAGAGAGGAGAAGGATGCTAATTTTTGACACCAGGAACTAAGAAGATAATGAAGCACAAATAGTTTGGACTTGGGAGTAGGTGATCAGTTTCCTTTGGCATATGTTGAACTTGAGGGTTCTACAGAATAATCATATTGAGATGTCCTGGAAGCAACCCAGGAGAGAGAGAAAAGGAGGGTGGGAAGGCTGAGGGTGGAGAAAGAGAGAGAGAGAGAGAGAGAGAGAGAGAGAGCGCTCAGCCGGAATCTGCAATTTGGAAGTCATCATAAAGGAGGACACGAAGCTCATGGACAACGGTGAGACCTCTCATGAGTATTTCGAGGGAGATGAGAGCAGGAATGGGGAAAGAACCCTGAAGAAGACCAGCATGGAAGAGAAGGAGCAATATGAAAGTTATAGGTGGGTCAGGTGTGGTGGCGCATTTCCATAATCCCAGGTACTCAGGAGGCTGAGGCATTAGGATTGCAAGGTCAAGGCCAGCCTGGGCAACTTGGCAAGACCCTATCTCAAAATAATAATAATAATAAATAATAATAAACAAAAAGGGCTGGGAATGTAGCTCAGTGATAGAGCACCCATGGGTTCAATCTCCAGTACCAGAAAAAAAAATAAGTAAATTATGGATGGGAGTTTTAAGTCCCCTGAACTCTTATCTTGAATATGCCATTGTTTAGTGATGTGGACCCATGATTTTTCTTGGGAGGACCTAATTTTCCTGTAGCACCCTCAGCACACCTGTTGCAAAATGACACCTCTAGTTGTAAATGAGAAGATAGCTTCTGTCTTTGGTTGATTGTTCTAAGGCTACCTGTGAGCACAGGAAAACACCTAGGTAAGAACTTGATTCTCTATGGTGAGGGCCCTAAATCATATAAAGACATGGGGGCTTGGGGTGTGGTGTGTATAGGTGGCGAGGTTTCTCAAAAATACAGTGCACTCTCTGCACTGTAAAACTTGTAAAGTGAGAAGCGGTGACTTCTGTACAAGGGTGCTTGGCTGTAACAACCACCCACAGCCTCTCAGTGCAGGGTGGGTGGGGTGGAAGGAATACTTGAATGGTTTGCGAGGGCTTACCCGGGGATTGGAGCCTGGGAAACTCTGTACAATCAAATACCAAGACATAAAATCACTGAGAACTGCATAAATCAAGAGAACAAAAGGAGAATGTTGAGAAATGAGACATTTGTCAGAGGTGTGAGATTGGAGCCCAGTGGTGCACCCCATGAATACTTCCCCGACAGAAGCACAAAGGCTGACCTCTCTTGATTCTCAGGACCAAGCATCGTGTCTTTCCTCTGGCTGCTATATCCAATCCCTGAGGCAGCTTCATCTAAGGCTCAGGAAGTGCTTTTCTTATAGAGCTTCATTAAATAACAACTGGCTTTCAGGACCCAGGGACCTATTCAAGTTCAACCATTCTTGATCACTTTAAAATAATCTGTGTGAACCCTCTTCCTCTTGTCAAAAAGAAGACATGGTTGTTTTAAAATGATGGCTTTCTGTATTTGCAGGTATTTCAACATCATCATAATCATCTTCAGGCTCGGTGTAGCCCAGGCTGGAAACGGGCTTCTTGTTTCTAACTTTATTCACCGATGAATACATAGGTGGTGACTGAGCTGGGATTTCCTGTAGGGCTAAAATACACAAAAAAGTCGTTGCATGCGAAGCTATTGTGTATTGATGTATTTTTATTTAAGTAGCTCAGCATGGTTTCTATGGGTTTTGGTGATCTCACTTCCTGGTGGACCAGATCCCCCATTTGTCAGAGGAAACTCAGATGTGACACAGATCTCAGGATCACCCAAGTGAGTGAATGACAAATATTGATCAGACATCCTGACTCTCAAGTCTCTGACTAAGTCTGCACTACCCATGCACCATGAGGCAAATGCTTAGGAAAGCAAAGCGGAGCTGCCTGCCAGTTGAATCCACTGTTTCTACAGATTCTCATTCTTACTAGGAAGTGAAACAAACCATTATTTCCTTAATGGTGCTTTCCTTCCAGCGACTTACATTGTTTCCTAAGACTATCTGAATTGCTCAGGTACAAGCTTCTCTGCTAAGGAGGAAGAAAACAGTGGTGTTTTCAAAAGCTGGAATTTAGTGCAGAATAGCTCCATAGCAACATTAAGAGGTGGTGAAGCTTTTAAGTAATGGGGCCTAGGGAGAGATTGTTATTGGTCCCTTCTCTGGCTTCTTGTTCCCCATGTGATCTCTTACTGTCACACGCCCTCCCACCATAATGCCATCTGCCAAGATGTGATATATAGCCAGGAACACCTTCCCCAGAGTTGGTGCCATGCTGTTTAGATTTTCAGCCTCCCAAATTGTGAGCTAAATAAACTTTTTTGTTTTGGGGGTAAGTTACCCCTTGCCTCGGGTATTTTGTTGTAGTAGTGGAAAATGGACTAATATAACAATGAAACAGCTCAGCTCTACCTGTGATGGGGATTGGAATTGCCTCTATGGCAATCTCGTCTTTTCCCATTTTCATTTCTTGTAGAACTCAGCAATTAGATCTGAGTTCATGTTCAGATCCTAGCTTTGTGACCACAGGTAAGTCACCTAAGTTCCCCATGTCTCAATGTTCTCATCTGTCAAAGGGAAATGACAGATAGAATTATTATAAGGATTAAATGAGATCATGGCTAGAAGTGGGGCTGCCACACAGGGCATGTTCAATAAATATTAGCTAATATTATTATCTGTCCATTCAGTCAAAATATTTTTTATTAAGTATCTCTTAAGCTCAGGACACTATTCCAGATGGTGTATGAACAGTGGTAAATAAGACAAGAAAGGCTCCTATTTTCCTCAAGTTTAAATTCTGGTTGGGGGAAATAGATAATAAACTAACGATAACTCAAGACGATTTTGGATAACTGCTATGAGTTTCATAAAGGAAAAGTGGCAGAAGTACTTTGATAGGGTTGTCAGGTGACACCAGAAAGACCAGGCAAAGCCAGTTATGCAAAGAGCTGAAGGAGAACATTCCAATCAGGGGACAAGTTACGTTTATCTGATGGGAATAGTTCACAGTTGCTGGGCACAGTGGCACATTCCTGTATTTCCAGCAACTCAGGAGGCTGGGAGGATCGCAAGTTTGAGGTTAGCCTCAGCCATTTAGTAAAGCCTTAAGCAACTTACTGAGAACTTGTCTCAAAACAAAAAAATAAAAAAGACTGGGGATGTAATTCAGTGGTAAAGTGCCCCTGGGTTCAGTCTTCAGAACCAAAAAAAATGCACTAGAGAACATCCTTGGCAAAATAATCCATGAAGAGGAAATTAAAAAACAAAACAAAAAAAAAAAAAAAAAAAAACCAATGAAAAAGAATAGTGACAGTCTAATTCCTTTTTACTCATGTTCTAAGCTGGGATTTGAACATGAATTTATACATTCACATTAGGGTATCAGGAACATTGGTATTTATTCTGGCCCCGCCCCTCTCTGGCCCCACACACCTTTTTTGGCTAGGGATTGAGCTACATTCCCAGTCCTTTTTATTTTTTGAGACAGGGTCTCACTAAATTGTTCAGACTGGCCTCAAATTTGCCATTCTCCTGCCTCAGACACCTGAGCTGCTAGGATTACAGGCATGTACCAGTAAACCTGGCAGTTCTGACCTTGCTAAAACTTGTTTGTCTTTTTTAAACAGGATGCTTCATCTGCCAATCCTATTGTTTGGAAATGTATTTGTGTTCCTCCAGAATTCATATGCTAAAGCCCTAACCCCACAATGTGGCTCTATTTGGTCATAAGATATAAATCCAAAAGCATTATATCTTTATAAGAAGACACACCAAGAGCTGGCTCTCTTGCTTTCTTCCCCAGTTCAAATACCCTGAGGAAAGCCCATGTGAGAATATAGTAAGAAAGCAGCAGTCTGCAAACAGAGAAGAAATCCTTATCAGGAACCAATTCAGCTAGCACCCTGATCTCAGACTTCCAGCATCCAGAACTGTGGGCAAAATTTTTCTATTGTTTAAGCCACTTAGCCTATGGTATTTTTGTTATGGCAGTTTGACATGATCAAGTCATCTAGATAAATTTGCTATCCTACCCTGAATGAAACTGTTACCAGCAAAATGTACTTACAAGAATCTCCTAGAAAATGCAAATCTCTGGGTGGCAGAGGGGGTAACTGATCTGGTGATTGATTAATAACATTCCTGGAAAGAGAGAAAGAGGAATCAGTATTTGGTTTGGATCAAATTATTTATAAGAAAGCATCAAGGAAAATGAATGGGTTGAACATTCAAATCTTAATCCCTACAAATTGAAAGCATTTTCTTCCCTTTCGAGGTCCTACATCCCATTTTCAACTACCACGATAAAGAAACCATTTCCTCTGGCCCAGTGAATGGCTGAAATTGAGGGAAGAGAGTTAAAGCTTTATAACTTAGTGTGTAAAGCGCAATCTCCTGTGTTCACCTGAACTGAATTAGGAGAGGGTGGTATGCATTGGGTGTATTTTTTTTTTTTTGCAAAACATATGTTCTCCTGAAGCTGAATGTACACACAACCCAAGAAAGCAATCTACCACCAAGTCTATAGCTTACCAAAGTGTTTGCATATGTTCACCAAAAGACCTGTACTAGAATATTCATGGCAGCGCTATTCATAACAGCCCTACTGAATGTCCCTCAGAGGCCCATGAATTAAAGTCTTTGTCCCCAGCTTAGTGCCATTGGGAGATGGTAGAAATGTTCTGGTCTCTTCTTCTTTCTTTCCTCCCTCCCTCCCCCCAATTCTCTTTCTTTCTTTCTTTTACCTGGCTATGAGGCAAGTGGTTTTACTCTACCGTGTACTCTCCACCATAATGTGGTGGCCCAAAAGCATTGGGGCCAACCAGTCATGGATTAGGACCTTCAAAACTGTAAACCAAAATATACCTTTTCTCTTTACCAGCTGATTGTTTCAGGTATTTGTTCTAGTAATGGAAAACTGATCAACATAAGGCCCAAACTGGATATGACCTATATTAACCTGGGTTCTCTGGAAAAAGAGACATATCAAATTAATCATCACACTACCCAAATGTCCCTCAGCAATAGAATGGATAAGTCAATCATGGTCTACTCCCACAATGGATTACTCTATTCCAGGTAGTAGGTACCTTTGGGTTTTCATGGCAGAGGGTGGTATAAGGCAAGTATCTGAGGTGCTGGTAATATTTTAGCTTGAACTGGGTGCTGATTACCTGGGTCTGCTCAGTTTGGGGAAATTCACTGAGTTGTATACTTACTCTATGCATCTTTCTATATTATGTTATGCTTTGGTAAGAAGTCTTAACTGCAGTACCAGTTTTATTCTTAATAAAAAGTGATATTTTGGTCATCTAGCTACCTTGTCTTACTTCTCAAGGGGATAAAAATGGGCTGGGTAGGGGCTTTATGTGCCGTGCACCCTGAGCACCAACAAGAGCCTTTTAGAAGAGCATAGACTTTGTTTTAAATAGTGCATATAAGGCAAAGAAAGAGCTCTTCTTGACTGGCTTCTGGGAGATCACAGCTTCCAGCTCTTGGAATGTCCTGACAGATAGTTTATGCTCAGGACGTGATACATGGTGAATGTTTTTGTTTACCTGGGACCCTGGACCATGCTGTGTCAATTTGACTCCTGGAGGCTCTGGAGATTGAGTTACTAACTAGATCAGTTATGTGGGCCATCTATGCCTGCTTAACTAGTCCCCAGTGAACCCTGAACAGCAAGGCTCAGGAGAGTGTCTCTGTTGGGAGATACTTCAAATGTGTCATTGCATATCATTGCTGGGAGAATTAAAGGGATCCTTAAGACCACCGGGGGAGGACAACTGGAGGTTTGTATGTAGCCACTCCATGTGTCTTTTTCCTTTGCTGTATACTTTTGCTGGATTAAACTGTAACGTTGAGTGTCATCGCTTCTGGATCCCAGGAGTCCTTCTAGTGAATCATCAAGCCTAAGGGTGGCCTTGGGGGCCACTTACACAGATACCACTCATAGATCCCCAAACACATCACATACAACAAAACAAAGAAGCATCTAAAGAAAAGATGTAGAGCAGGTGGTAGGCCTAGAACACACAGCCCAATTTGCAACATCTGTCACCAGACTCAAGAAGGGAAGCCTTGGAGAACAGGGTGCCAGATGATGCCTTTTCCTTAAAGTGGGAGCATTGGCACACAACAATGTTTTGCCAACTCCACAGGAAAAGTGGACGTCTCAGTCATACCAGAACAGTATTGGAGGGGAAAGGTTAGAAGTGAACAGGTGATTCTCAAAATTAAGAAGCAGATTCCCCCCCCCACACACACTTACTCATACATCTTCTCTTCTTCATCTCCATGGATTTGTTTCATGGACTTGGAAATTTTCCATTTCTTGCCTAAGGTGGGGGAAAACCAAAATGATTTAGGATGAATTCACTAAAGTTGTGATTCTAGAGTTTAGAAGTCCTCAGAGACCCAGTGGGTCCAGAACATTTGGAAGAAGAACTGTCAAGAGGGAATACAAATAGACTTAGGTATTCCAAGGTACTAGGTGATAGAGCTAGAATTTGTTTATTTGACATGGGGTGATGATATATTGCCTAGGCTGTCCTTGAATTTCTGATCCTCTTGCCTCAGCCTCCCAAGCAGCTGGGATCACAGGCATGCACCACTGCACCCAGCTTGATAGAGCTGCAATTTGACCCCAGGCCATCTGACCACAGAGGCTGGGAGCTAACCCAGTGAGGACAAGAACCACATAGGCTGTGTTTCTTCATTGCCTGGTATTATGCCTGATACTTGGTTGGCACTCAGAAATGCAGGTCATATGAGCAACCAAAAGTAGTTGGGAAGAGATGAGAAAATGCATGGGAAAACTGGTTTGTAAACTGTGAAGTGTTAGACATATTAATTATAACTTACTTGTTAGTATGAGTAGTTTAAGATAAAAGAGAATAGGTAAGTTTTTTTTTTAAATCTCTTTTTTAGTTGTAGATGGACACAATACCTTTATTTTGTTTATTTATTTATTTATTTATTTTATACAGTGCTGAGGATTGAATCCAGTGCCTCACATGTGCGAGGCAAGCACTGTACTGCCGAGCCACAACCCCAGCCCAATAGGAAAGTTTTGTTTAGGGTCATACTTTGGTCCATAACTGAAAATGAAAAGTTTTAAGAAGGTAAATGAATAGAGGATTACAGGGGCCCAGAATGTACTTTTTTTTTTTTCCAGTAATGAGGATCAAATCCAGGGCCTTACACATGCTAGGCAAATGCTCTACCACTAAGCTATATCCCTATCCCAGGAGACAATTTTTGTATTAAAAAATTAATTATGTTAAGAGGTAAAGGAGAAAGAGCATTGAACTATAGGGCCCAGCACATCTGAGTTCTAGTCCCAACTCTGCCACCAATTCCTATGGCATCTCTATTAAGGCTCTGTCTCCCTCTGAAATTTAATCTTCTTATTTCTAAAAAGAGATTGAGAAGAATAACCAAAAAATTTCACTTCTTATGTAATCTCGACTTTTCAGCACTGGGTTGAACCAGAATTTGAGGTTGTGTCTAGATGCCCAGGAGGACAGTGTCCTGTTTACTGAGGGATGTCTACCCAGGGTGTCCCAGGGGAAGGTGGCTGTACCTCTCAGTATGTTTACCATCCCCTATATACTACTGGTTTAGGTCATCTTTTTTTTTTAAGGGATAAACTCTCAAGAAAACACACCATACTTTGGAGACGAAAGGCAAAGTTGAAAACCTAATTGTAGATAATCTAAAGTTAGTGTTAATCCTTAAGCAGTCATGTGTGTGTGTGTGTGTGTGTGTGTGTGTGTGTGATTGTCCAAATCCTTTAGTCAAGGAGGAAATAATACCAAATACCAGAAAGTTCAAGAGTATGGTCTTGTAGAAGGCAATCATGGTTGCCAAACATGTTGGTCATGGGTCAAGTCTGTATTTCATTCCCAAACATAGTTTTTGATATTTTGTATATGTGTATTTTCTTTTAAGCTCCAGACACAAGATGCTGTAATCAATAGCCCCATTTCAAAGACAAAGCTTTTGAGCATATTGTGCCTTGAAACAAATTCTGCTTCCATCCAAACCCTGTGGGCTGGAAGGGTCCCTAGAGATTAGTTAACCTCCCCCTTTCACTGCGCATATGGGGAAATTGAGGCCTTGGGAACATAAGTTAGTGGCAGGAGTAGGACTCAAACCCAGAAAGCATGACCCTTAATTTAAAATTCAGCCCATAAAGCCCAGGACTCATCTTCCTGCCCCAAAGGAGCTCTAATGTCCTGACATCCATCCACCTGCCCAGATGAGATGACTGTTACCTTGCCTGAGCTGGCACCGACAGACAAAGTATAGGATGAGGCCTAGGACCAAGGAGACGACAATGATGGCCACAGCCAAGATGATCCAGAAATAGTTGATCCACAAAATCATTGCAGTGGAATCCTAAGAAGAATGCAGATAGAGAATAACACATGAATGAAAGGCATCCTGGAGTGGTGGTGGGGGCTGTTGTCTTCCGTGCTGTGTAGAGAGGCAGGCATTTGCTTAGGAATAAAATAGCCAGTGGTTCACAGTCAAACCCTACAGATCAGCAAGTAGGCAAGTCCTTCTGTGAGCCTCAGTGTCTCTGTCTGTAATATGGAAACTCACTCATGCATATTCAAACGGTGCCATTTCAGATGTATGGTTTTGAGAATATTAATTATGTGAAAAGGCATATAGACAGGTGATAGAGAAACAGACACCACCTACTACTTTCCAGGGCTTTGTGAGGATTATAGACAAGATATGAATCTACTAGGTACTCTAGAAACAGTAGACATCAAAACTGTTGTTTCTTATATTGCAGATATAAGAAAATGCAGCAGAAGGGGAAAAGTGCCATTTAAAGCAATTATTGACTATAGTTCTTTTTGTATCATAAAGACAAGATATAATTCATAACAGGGGAAAAAGAATTCTGAGGCTTTTTTTTTTTTGAGATGTGGTTTAAAAATACCTTGATGGATGCTGTGGTTTGAATATGTGTTTTCCCCACCAAAACTCATAATGCAGTTTGGTGCCTAAAATGACAGTGTGTTAAGAGGTGATGGGACTTTCAAAAGGCATTTGGGTCATGAGGAATCCACCCTCATGAAGGGATTAATGCCATCTCATGTGAGTGAGCTCTTTTGATTGCAAAACTAGGTTACAGCAAGACCTGCTTCTCTTTTGCATGCGCCTAATTCCCTTTCTGCCTTGAGTTAAATCTCCACAAGGCCTTCACCAGATGCAGCCACTTGACCTTGGATTTCTCAGCCTCCAGATCACTGAGCCAAAATAAACCTCTTTTCTTTAGAACTTACCAGTCTTGGGTGTTCTCTTACAGCAACAGAATGAGTCTCTTTGAGTGAGGCATGGTTAGAAGGGCAAAGCTGAAGATGTAGAACAAGCTTGAGTTAGCAAAAGAAAAGTAACTGGAATTTGGGGTCTGAAGGTAGACTAGAGAGGAGGAGAGACTTGGAACAGGTTAGCAGCAGAAGGAGAGGCCAAAGTCAGAGCTTAATTAGAAAGTCCCCATAGCAGAAAATAACCACTGCATTTATGAGTATTTACATGTAATATTCAACTGTAAACGTCTGTCTGTATTACACTGTGTTGTAATATTCTGTTATCAGCACACCTTTAATAAAATTGTAGAATGTACAAAAGCTTGTATGGGCAGAACCTGTGGGGGCAGGTCAGGAATGACATTTAGGCAGCGGTTTACCAATGGGGGTGGGG